CTCGGCCCTTGTGCTTGCAAGGCAGGTGCTGGAACCTCTGAGAAAAGTCCCTGGCCGCTGAATCATTTTTAAGTAAAAACGTGGCTGAAATTGCATTTTTTTGGCAGCCGACTAGTACACAAAAATCCAAGGCAAGGAAAAGTGTTGGGAGAAGGAGAATGGCAGCTTGGGCCGAGGTCACGGCAAGGAGGGTGAAGAAAGCCACGCAGTTACTGAGAGTCGGAGATGTGGTTCGAGGAGTGGCTGAAAGGAGGGCGGGCGACAGAGGTGCTGCCAGGGCGTCAGCGCAGCCCCTGGACCCTGTCTGCACGAGGTGGTCAACGAGGACAGAGGCCCCATTTTGAGCAGGTAGAATTTGAAGAGCCTGTGTGCGGGCCACCCGATGAGTCCAGCCAGTGCTGGGCATTCCCGCATCCTCACACTGGAAGAGCTGCCGCCACAGCAAGAGGCTTCCAGTGCCCGCTGCCGGGGAGGGCCAAAGGCGAGTAAGTGCACAAAGAAAAGGCAGCACACTGGACAGAGCTCTTCCCAGGGCCAGAGAGCAGACCTTCAGGACCTGGTGAGAAGTGCAGGAGGGCTTTCAGAGATGATCTCTGAGCTGAGCCCCAGCTGGGAAGAGGTCAGGGCTGTGCAGAAAATGAAAGGGGACAGCAGGGCGAAGGGCTCTAGGGCATGAAGGAGTTTATTGTGTAAGAGGCCAGTGTGGCTGAAGTCTAGAGAACAAAGGGATGGAGATGGTCGCAATCCCAGCAGTAGGAGGCTGAGGCAGGAGGATGGCAAGGTGGAACCCAGCTTTAGCAATTTAACGAGACCCTGCCTCACAATTAAAAAATAAAAAGGAGGGCCGGGGATTTAGCTCAGTGGTTCCACTGTCTGCCTTGCAAGCACAAGGACCTGAGTTCAATCCCCAGTACCATAAAATAAACATTTTTTTAAAAGGGGTGGAATGCAGCCCATTGTAGAGGCCCTGAGTCCATTGCCAATACCTCAGAAAGAAAAAAAAAGGAAGGGATGGTAGGAGATGAGGTCTGCGGCCTCAGTAAGATTAATCCATAGAGCCGGGCATCGTGGCGCACGTGTCATCCCAGCACTCGGAGGTTGAGGCAGGAGGGTCGCTGTGAGTGCCGGGCCAGCCTGGGCTACACAGTGAGATGCTATCTCAAAAAAACAAAACAAAAACCATCACATAGGTTAGGAGAGTAGCAGGAGATGAAAACGGAGGAGCAGCAGTGACATGAGGTTTGGGGTTTTAGTTGTGCAGGCAGCACAGTCCATAGAAAGGTACGAAGCTGCGCATACAGCTGTAAAGCAGCCACAATTAAAAAGGGAAAGCACGCAGTTTTAGTATATCCCACCATCATTTCACATGGGATCAATCAATATAAAAATGATTAAACATTTTTAATGTTTTACATTCTTTTTCTCATTTCTGTTTGAAATCTGATGTTTTGTACTTATCTAGCTTATCTCAGTACTTCATAAAATTTGCCGTTGAAAACTCATTTCAACATACTTAGAAGTTTTGCAAGCCTAGGGGTTGTGGTGGTGCCTGTAATCCCAGCTGCCTAGGAGGCTGAGGCGGTAAGGCTGCAAATCAAGGCCCATTTTTAAAATTCTCTAAAAGGTTGCAAATGGACTCAGTGGTAAAGGGCCTACCACCTGTGAGTCCCTGGGTTCACCAGGATCACAAACAAGAAAAAAAAAGTGGTAATTGAATCATGTGATAGTATTTTAATTTTAAAGAATAAAAAGGGCCAGGGATTTAGCTCTAGTTCTGCCACCTGCTTCACAAGCGCAAGGACCCAAGTTCGGTCCCCTGTAGCAAAAAAAATTCAATTCCTAAATGAGCCACATTTCAGGTGGTGCTTGCTAGTTGCTGCTGTATTGGCAGTGAAGTCGTAACAGAGTAATACAGAGTCTGACCTCAAAATTATTTGGAACCAGGCCAGAAGCTGTGGATGCTGACAGGGTGCGCAAGAGGTGGCTTTGAAGGAAGGTCCCTTACAGTGTTATGCTGAAGGTCAGAAAGGTCACTAGATGGCCAAGAGCAACCCCTCCCCTGCTTAGACTTGGCCCCGTGGGCTCTGAATTGGTAGTGAGGCTCCGGGGCAGTACCCAGGAGGGGTGGTCCATGGGCCACCACCAGCCTGTAGACACCGTCACCACCCATGTCGCTGCGGAAACTTAACAGCCATCTGACACTATTCTTGGATCCACTACAAATCTGGGGTCGTGTGTACATCTTTCCTTTTTAATTCCCTTCTCTAGGAATATTTATCATGTTTTATCAAAGTATCATCTTTCCTGCTGCTTTAGAAGTGTTAGGACAAAGGGAATCCAAAGGACCAAATTCCCAGACTTATAAAGTTTTTACTTCATAGTGAGAACCGCCAGAGCTCTAAGAAGTGGACACCTCGTTTTCTGTAATAGCTCCCATCTGCGAAATGCCTGCATGGTGCCAGCCACTGCGATTAGCCTGTTACGTATGTTGTCTCGTTTAGTCCTCACCATTCTATAAAGTAGGCATTATTGGCTCGATCTTTCCCGTGAGGAAACAGGCTAAAATAAGCGGACTTGCCTAAAGTTACTAAGCGCTTTTTTTGGGAAAGAAGGGATTTGAGACAGGGTCTCACTATGTAGTGAGACTGACCTGGAACTCACTATGTAGCCCAGGCTGGTCTTGAACTCTGAGCGAGCCTCAGCCTCCCAGGTGCTGGGATTACAGGCGTGCGCCACCACGCCCAGCTAAAGTCACTAAGCTCTTAAATCTTGGAGGCAGGATTCCAGTACAGGTCTCTTTCAAAGCAGCATTCCTGGCCACATTTTTTTTAACACCACCATGTGTTCAATATCTAGTAGATTTGCCCGCACAAACGATACAGAGGACACATAATGTCGACAGCGTTTCTTCCCAGGGAAGAACTTGGTAGCCAGAATAAGGGAATCTGGCGGTATTCCAACAGCATCAGGCAAATCCATTTCTTCAATGGAGATAGAGGTCTCCTCCCTATCTAAAAATGTTATAAGAATCCCACAGATTAATAAAAATAGCCCTGTAGAAAGATGGGTAAGAGGGCTGGGGACTTAGCTCAGTGGCACTGTACCTGCTTCACAAGCGCAAGGTCCTGAGTTCAATCCCAGAACTGCCAAAAAAATGGGGAAGAGGTTTTAATAGTTACATCACAAAAGGTGTCTACATCGCCAGTAAGCATAAGGAGCTCAGCTTTTCTAGTTGTTAGAGAAGTTCACATTAAAACTGCAGATACTGTCACCCAGCTATGGCTAAAATGGAAAAGCTAGAAAATACCAAATGTTGGCCCAGAGTTTCAGCAGCTGCCAACTGGGATATTTACTGTTACAGCCACTTTGGGAAATTCAAAGTTCAAGAACCAGGCAAAACCAAATGATTTTTTTTTTTTGGTACCAGGGATCAAACTTGGGGCCCTTGTGCTTGTGAGGCAGGTGGCAGAAGCACTGAACTAAATCCCCAGCCCAAGAAAGGAAGTCATTTTGACGGGTAGTGCTCAGGAGGGAATAAAGAGGTACTTCTGGAGAGCTTTCTGTTTTCTGACCTCAAGGGGGTATCGTTCCTTTATTGAGCTTCAACTGGGGTGAGGGGTTGGTTTTTGTTTGTTTGTTTGTTTGTTTGTTTGTTTTTTGTTCTGGGGATTGAACTCGGATCCTTGGGCTTGTGAGGCAGGCCACCAAACCGCTGAGCTAAATCCCCAGCCTCAGGGGTTGGTTTTCTTGCAATGCATATCATGATTTAAAGTGTGCTGGGTTTGTTTTCTAATAACGAAAAATTACCTCCCAGGCAGCGCTGGCTACACTACCAACCACGTGTTCCCAGTCTGAGCCAATTTTCCTGCACACCGATTGCAAATAGGGGGACAAGGTCCCCTGCATTTTGCAGGGAGCAGTGGTGAGGAAGAGGACACAGATGCAAAGATCCCACAGAACCTGAGGCAGCCTGGGTGGGAGAAAAACACAGCAGCTGACGAGAGCCGTGACAGCTCGCCTGGATTTCGCTCTGCCCCTGCGAGTGGTGCCTGGAGCCCGGTGACGCGAGCATCCCTTTGTCCCTTGGGGCCTGGGGCAAGCTGGGGAAATGGCATGTGCAGTCTTTACTGGTACCTGACTCGGCAAGAGGGGGAGAAGGGAAAGAATTTAAAGATGACTGAGACGCAGAGCCCATGTAATGGAGGCAGAGGGCATGCCACGAAGAAAGGAGAAAGCCAAACGGGAGAAGCAGATCCGGGAAGGGACGGGCTGTGGATAGTGCGTGCCGAAGTCGGCCGTGACCAGGGAAGCCCACGGCGGAAAGGTCCAGGTTGGTGGCAGGAAATGAAGTTGCTCGTGACTAGGTAACCATTAAAGGCGCAGAAATGATGGAAAGAATATAGACAAAGTTTTCTGAAGGACAGGAGGAAAAGAAAAGGGGAAGAGGAAATCATTTATTGAGCATCTCTTAAACCAGCACCCAGCTCTCTGCCATCACATTTGTTCCTCTCAGATGCCAAGGTGGCCGCAGGTAACCTCTTGGTGTCTTTGCAGGCTCACAGCAAGGAAAAGAAGCAGCTTTTTGGGGGATGGGTGGTCAAGGTCTCCCTGTTCCAGGCTGGTCTTGAACTCTCAGCAACCCTCCTGCCTCAGCCTCTCAAGTGCTGGGATTACAGACGTGTGCCACCACACTTGGCAGGAAACTGCATTTGAGACCAGCTCCACTCCAGTTCCTACTGCACCCCCACCGCTCTGGAGCACCAAGTGTCCAGCAAAGATGAGCCCTGGGAAGAGGCCACTGGATGTTTGCGATTCGTGGCCAAGGCCGCGTCACCGCACACTTCCCCTCTAGTTAACCCAGACACATTTGTGTCGGAAACCTGACACAGTGACTGAAAGCGAGTATACCGAAACAGGACGGGCTGTGTCTAGCTAGATACTCCTGCCAGCCTCGGGCTGCGAATCTGAAGGCTTGAGAGAGAAGCGAAGCAGGAGGAACTGTCCCCATGCAGATTCCGCGTCCTCACTGCTTGGTGTCAGCCGGGACAGTCACCAGCCATACCACCTGGGGACGAGAAGGAGGGCAGTCTCATTCGGTCTGTGGACAGTGCAGTGTTAGCCACCTGGTAATCCTACAGGAAAGGGCAGAGGTGGTTTTGCTAGTCCAGGACCTTAATCTGGGGAATGAAAGGTAACCCTGCTGGCGATGAACTCAGGCCTTCGAAAAGCACAGTAACACCTCCAAATGTAAAAGAACCTACCACAATCGAGAAGGATGTGCCCCACTACCAGTAGTTTCATTGAAACTATTTGTTTACTGTTAAAACAGCACTGTAACGTTAAAATTCAATGAAAAATGTTACCCATGCCTGGCATGGTGGTTCATTCCTGAAATCCCAGCACTGGGGAGGCTGAGGCAGGAAGATCACTGCTAGTTCACAGCCAGCCTGGACTACGTAGCATGACCCTGTCTCAAAAAACCAAACCAAAACAAAAATGCTTCCCATAATGCAAGTACTGGGCCTTTCCTATGCTTCTTAGATTTATGAATGCATAATGCAGGGGTTTTAGACAGACTTCGGAAGTATTTTAAATTGAATGGGAAAGAACACATTTTCCGTTTTGGCTCACTGCCTCCTAGAGAAGAGTTCTAGCAACTAAATGAAATTCTTTTATAAAGCCACTTTCCTCAGAATTTCTTGACACATCCAGAGCTTTGATTTCCATGACTGGGTGAGGCACAGCCACAAACTCAACCCTATATTTTTTGCATTAACCTTTGCGTTGAGGCCATATCTGAGTAACCTAGCTCATAAAACTATTAGAGGCCCAGCCAGTTTCTGAAAATCATTCGGATAATCCACTGGCTCAAAAATATGTTCTGCAGGGTATGGTGTCACAAGTATGTAATCATAGCTATGTGGGAGGCTGAGGCGGGAGGATTGCAAGTTCAAGGCTAACCTGAACCCAACTGAGGGCAACTTGGCAAGACTCTGTCTCAAAAGCTTTTAAATGTAAACAAAAAGGGCTGATGATACGGCTTGGCAATAGAGTGTTTGCCTAGCATCCCCGCAGCCCTGGGTGCAATCCCTTGTACCAGAAATACGAAGGATTTTTAAAAATAATTATTACTCTCTTCCATCCATCCAGTTCCCACCCCCAAGGTAACCTTTACTATTTTTCTTGTTTACTTTTCTAGAGGGTTCTTTGAAGTTCCTATACATGTAAGAAGAAATATTCATCTTTCCCCCACTTGTTACACAGAAGGGAGGATTCTGGCCTACTTTTCTATACTTTACACTTAAGATATATAGGACTTGTCCATATTCGTGCCTAAAAGATGACTTCATAGCCCTGCATATTGTTAACTACTCACTACACAGTTGAGGGACATTGAATTTCTAGTCTTGTAATCTAAGTAGTGTTTGAATGAACTTTTTTTTTTTTTTTTGCAACAGTGTCTTGCTTTCTAGGTCAGGCTGGCCTTGAACTCACTATGTAGCCCAGGCTGGCCTCAAACCCACAGCGATCCTCCTGCCTCAGCCTCCGGAGTGCTGGGATCACAGGCGGGCGCCACTACACCCGCGTGAATGAACATCTTGCACGTACATCTTTTCTTGTACGTGTGAGCATGTCTCATTTCAGTTCCTGCTGGTGGAACTGCTCTGCAAAAGGACGCGCGTATATTTCTAGTTTGCTTTCTATGTACGTGGTGTTTCTCTCCACAGCAATGCTAATGGACTGTTACCAGACCTTCGGCTTTTTCCCTCATTACTGAGGATTGAAGTCAGGAGCCCCGGGCCACCGTCCGTCCCCAGCCTTCTTGTCTTACTACTCTCAAACAGGGTTGGGCTAGATTGCCGAAGTTGACCTCGCACTCTGACTGCTGAGGAGCCGGGATGACAGGAGTGCACCATCCCACCACATCTTCTAAGTGCAGATTATTGCAAGTGCGGCCTCACGCCTTAGGGTCACGAACACAATCACTGGTGTACACTGAGAAAGAATGGCTCTCAGTTAACAGCATTTGCTCTGGATGTAGAAATTCTTTGCAACTGCTTCTACAGTTAGCCACCCACAACTAGTTGGGTTTTTTTTTTTCATAACTAGTTTTTTAAAAAGAAAAAGGAGGGGTGGTTACACAATCAAAGCCATGGCATACCTGGAAAGGGGCCAGGAACGGCTGCAAACAGCTCCACCTACACTTTTTCTTTTCTTTTTCCTTTTTTGGCTTGGCAAATTCGAAAGCTTAGCAGAATCTGAAGAGACCCTTCAGCCTTCGTTGGAATTGCAAAGTGTCAACCCTGGGAAGGGCAAGATACTAGTAATTTATTTCACAAAAAACAACAATTCAGGCCGGGGATTTAGCTCAGTGGTTCGGCCACCTGCCTCACAAGCTCAAGGACCCGAGTTCGTACCGGTACCGCCCCCCAAATCCCCAAATGTAGTAGGAGCTGACATTTGACTTTGGTCAATCCTGTTCTGGTGCTGAGATGGTGGATGTGGGGCCCTGGACTGCACCTGCCTGCAGCTTCTCGCCAAGCAAGAGCGCCAGGAATGGTGGAAGTCACATGGACAGACGTAACTGAGGGGGAAGACGGGGTGGAACACAGTGCGGGCTCCTCGCTCCCTGAGCCTTACTCCTGAGGTCGAGGGTTTGTAGTCTTCATCACTGGAGCCAGCTTCCTGCATTTGATCAGCTGTGTAATAATAGATCGGCTATGAGATCTTTCGGGGAGACACGTCACCCCCTGGGCCGGCTCGTCGGTCCTTAAATCAGAGAATCTAACAACTGCCTTACAGAAGGTTTTGAGAGGACGAAGCGAACAGGCTCACGTGAAGGGCCTTAAGGTAAGGACACAAGCCTTAGCGGCCAGCGTGGGTGGGGTAGAGAGGTGGGTTTGGCTTTTGTGCTGGGGACCCCATCTGGGCCTTGCACGTGCGAAGCACATGCCCTCCTGAGCTCTTCCCGCAGCCTTGCACTGTAACCACCACCGGCAGGACAGCCGTGTTTAACAGGGCCCAACCTGTACAAAAGGGTGCTGTGCGCCTGTGTACTTAACACTCGGAAGGAAAATCTTTGGAGAATGCTTCCGGAATTTCAAGTGCTTACACTAAAGTTGGGTCTCGCTGTTTTTTCTCCCTTCCCACCCTACCAAGTAAACCTTGGTGATCTGTTTCTCAGTTAAAGTTGGTTTAGCTCAGCGGCACCGCACCTACCTTGAGAGCGCAAGGTCCTGAGTTCGATCCTCAGTACTGCAAAAACTAAAAAAGTAGATAAATAAATAAAGTTAGTTTAAACGACTTTGATTTTGAGAATGCTGTGATACCTGTTGGTTTAACTGCTAAAATGTAGGGCAATGTACAATCGAGCACATAGTGTCAAAAAACTGGTCAGCATAGATACCTGAAATGGTAAAGTGACTTCAACGTTTCATTCATTCATTTACTCAACAAAAAAGAGGTCCTGCCCGCCCCTTCCATTTCCCCTTTCTGACTGAGCTTTCATTATCACAGAGCCACTTCTCTCACTGGGAACAAGAACAAAGTCAGGCACCCAGACATCTGTCTGGTGAAGAAATAGTAGCTCTCATTACTGAAATTTGGTTCAGCTTTAACATCATTGCCAAGGTCATAGGCAAATCGGACTAATGTGCTCGCAACGTGCACTTTCCCAGGTCCTGACGCTGTTGCCTCTCCCCAACCATTTGAACGTCTGCTTCTGTTCGCTTCATAGAGAAAAATTTACAGTGTTTGGACAGAACATTTGGGTCCTCACGAAATCCACATTGCCAGGTGGTGGGGGAGGCGCGAGGGAAAGGGGGTGGAACAAGAGTGAAGCTGTGTTGTGTGTGTGCACCAGTGACACACAATGAAAGTAATCATTCTGTACTGCAAACACGGGCCCATAAAAATAAAGGCTTTTAAACTTCACATGTTGACGCCTAACCCCCAGCATAAAGGTGTTTGGAGATGGGGTGCTGGTTAGGGTTAGATTAGGTCCTGGGGACAGGGCCCTCATGACGAGATTAGTAGCCTTAGAAGAAAGGGAAGAGGAAGCTGAGGCAGGAGGGTCACAAGTTCAAGCACAGCCTAGGCAACTTATCAAATTAACAAAATCCAGTCTCAAAAAAGAAAGGCTGGGATGGAGCTCAGCGCCGAAGCCCCAGATTCAGTCCCCAGGATGGAGAAATCTCTGTCCTCCAGCTCACAGAGGAAGAACCATGCAAGGGTTCAAGAAAAAACGACCACTGGCAAGCCAAGAAGAGATGGTGCCAGGAGATGAATCGCTGGCACCTTGACCTGAAACTTTCCAGCTGTTGTAGTCTGGGTTGGCAAGGCGATACATTTAACACAGGATGCGTGATTTATAGGATTAGTCACCCAAAAAGTCCAGTGCAGAGGAGTGCAGGAGACCTGTCCACACACTAGAGACCTGAGGAATCCAGCCAAGGGCCTGGATCCACGCCAATGTCCTGCACAAATCCAGCTGAAGGCCTAGAGCCCAAGGCAGTGTCCTCCATGAGTCCAGTCAGAGGCCTGGAGCCCACAGCAATGTCTTGTGCAATCCATGTCAAGGACCTGCACCGGGAAGGCCCAAAGGCCAGGGGTGGAAGCCAGAAAGTCTGCACCTGCGTGGTGAAGGGTCTGTGCCACCAGGCTCAGGGATCTGCTTGGAGCAGAAAGCGATGCTCAAGACAAAAACCAGAGTTCCCACGACGAGAAGAGCAGCCATTCCCAGCGATAGTGAGGACCTGAGCGCCTCTGCCAATGAGAACAGCTGAATTCACATCAGGAAAACCAGCAGGCAAGCTTCTCCCGGAAAATCAACCAAAACAATCTTCCCCTCCAGTTCTCTTATGCCATCGGCAACAATCCTCAGGTGGGTCTTCCACACCCAGAACCTTGCTGACTTGGTTCAGCTGGGCGGCCAAGTTGCCCATTAGTTAATCCACTGCACCACCTTACAGAACTGCGAGAAATGAACTCGTGTTATTTAAGCCACTCAGTGTATGGTGTTTTGTTCAACAGCCCAAGCCAGCCAAGACAATGTACAGTATCTGCAGTTTTCCACAGGTTCATAAAGTCCATCCAAAAGGAACCATCCTAGTAATAGTGTCTTGTTCTTGAGACTAACTGTAGCCAACATATTGTCTGTGTAATTCCTGCACAGTGTAAAGACAGTGAACTCTGCCTGTAACCCCAGTACTCGGGAGGCGGGGACAGGAAGATTGCCACAAATTCAAAGCCTGACTGTGCTACATAGTAACTTTGAGGCCGGCCTGGACCGCATAGTGAGGCCCTGAGTCAAAGTAAAAATTACAATTTTTATTTACAATTTTTATTCTCTAAAAATACTTTATTCTCTATTTTTAAAGAGATACAGATGTTTTTAAACAGATGGGGAAAAAATAAGAACCAAGATATATCATGTAAAGGTGCAAGATCCCAATGATGAATGTAACTGTACTGTGTATCTAAAACTATTGTGTACCAATAAACAATGAATAATTAAAAAAAGAATGAGAAACTAGAGACATTTATAGTAAATGGATGCACCTTGAGGCCATACTCTTACGTGAAATAAGTAGGACACACGTGTAAATATCGAATGGATCAGAATGTATAATAAATTATGAGAAACAGGAAGAAAAGGTACAAAGGGGAAAGGGAAGTGGGAGGGGTAGGGGAAAGGAAAGAAGGGAATGGAATTACTATGAGAAAGCGAAACAATGGAAAGGGAGTCTGTAAATAGGGAAAGGGTAGAGGGGGTGAAGGGAGGGCAGGGATAAGCGGGGAAAAGTAAGAACCAAGACAAATTACATAAAAGCCCAAATTCCCAATGATGAGTGTCATTATACTGTATACCTAAAATGTACCAATAAAACTCATTTTAAAAAACCAGATAGGGCTGGGGATTTAGCTCAGTGGTTCTGCCACCTGCTTCACAAGCACAAGGTCCAGAGTTTGATCCCTGGTACCAAAAAAAAATAAAATAAAATAAAAATAAAGTCATGCCTATTTATAGGGTTTTGTGATGTTTTGATACAGTCTACAATCCGCAGTATTTAAATCATATTCAGTATATCCACTTAAACATTTCTTTCTCCTTTCGTCTAGCCTTTTGCTGTACATGTTATTGCTACCTGTAGTGGTCCTACCATACATACACACCAGAACTTCCCTCTCCTGTCTCACTATAACTCAGCATCCATTCATCCACTCTCTGTCCCTGCCCCTACTCTCCCAGGCCCTGGAAACCTCAGTTCTACTCTAAACTTCTATGAGACCTACTTTTTCAGTATTCTGCCTATGAATCAGATCATGCAGCATTCTTCCTATGCCTGGTTTATTTCACTTAATGATCTCCAGGTTTATCTACATCGTCCCAAACGACAGGAGTTCGTCCTTTTAACCGCTGAATAGTATTCCATCTTTCATTCAACAGTTGGTGGGCACTTTGGTAGCTTCCGTGTGAAGCATGCTACAGTGAGCATGGGCGAGCAGCTGTCTCTTTGACATCCTGATTCCCTCTGCTCTGATAAATGCCTAGGAGTGAGATGGCTGGGTCATACACTGAAATTTCTGAAGAGCCTCCACACTGTTTCCACAATGGCCATACTACGTATCATCATGAGAGGATTCCCTCTCCTCCACACCCTGGCCACCCTGAGTGTCCTCTCACAATGGCTACTCTTGCTACGGTGAGGTGGTAGCTCATGCTGTGGATTCCCACTTCTGTGATGATTACTGAAATTGGGCACTTTTTCATATACGTGTTCATTGTTTGTTTTCTTGGGAAAAGTGTCTGTTTGGGTCTTTTGCTTCTTTTTTTTTTTTTTTTTTTTTAACCTTAGAGACAAGGTCTCACTATGTTGCCCAAGCTGGACTCAAACTTCTAGGCTTAAGCCATCCTCCTGCCTCAGCCTCTCAAGTAACTGGGACTATAGGTCCAATCCACGGTGCCTGGCCCTATTCCCATTTTCAATCGTGGTGGGGTTCTTTGTTGTTTTGTGCTTTTGATATTTTGTAAAACATAACAAAATTTTGCTCGTAAGAATATCCTGACACATTTCTCTTATGTTTTCTTCTTGTAGATTCATAGTGTATAGTCTTTCTTTATTCTTTCTTTTAACGGTACCAGGGATCGAACTCCGGTCCTTGCACTTGCGAGGTAGGTGGTGGAACCACTGAGCCAAATCCCCGGCCCTCACATGGAAGTCTCTAATCTATTTAGAATTGATTTTGTAACTGGTGAATGATAGAGATCTAGTTTTATTCTTCTACATATGAATGTCCAGTTTTCCTAGCATTGTTTGTCAAAAAGAATGTTCTTTCTCTAACACACATTGTTAGTACTTTTCTGTTACATTGGGTTGCTCATATGTACAATGATACCTCGGTTCAGGAATGCTTCTGTTGCAAACAATTTGTTTCCCAAACAGAAGCATTTGACAAAATTTTGTTCCTATTTGCAGGCTTTGCATCAGGTGACAGACATGACCGTGGCCATCTTTCCCACACAAACACAAACGTGGCCAACTTTTCCAAAATTGTAGAACAAATTAAGTCTGTGAATCAAGGTCCCACTTACCTGGATTCACTGCCGGGCTTTCTCTTCTCGTCCACTGGTGTAGCATCTGTATGCCAATACCATGCCGTTGTGATCACTACAGCTTTGTTGTATATTTTGAAGTCAGGTAGCACGATGCCTCCTGCTTTGTTCCTTTTGCTAAAGATGACATTGGCTATTCTGTTGTTGTTGTTGTTATCACTGTTTCATGGTTCCACACGAACTTTAGAATTGTTTTCCTAGCTCTGTGGAAAATGTCACTGGTATTTTGATAGGGGTTGCATAAGTTTGTCAACTGCTTTAGGTAGTCATTGGTCATTTTAACAATATTGGTACTTCCAACCCATGAACATGGATGTCTTCTCATGTTGCATGTGTGTCCTCTTCAACTTCTTTCATGGGTGTTTTACAGTTTCCATTACAAAGGTTTTGCCTTCTTGGTTATATTTACTCCTAGGGTTTTACTGTTCTGTTGTTTCTGCTTTGGCACCTATTGTAAGTGGGTCTTTGTGTCCTGCAGTATTGCTGAATTTGTCTATGAGTTCTAGTAGCTTTTGCTGGAGTCTTGGGGGTTTTCTGTAAGATCGTGTCATCTGCAAACAGTAACAACCTGACTTTTTTTCTCATTTGCTTGCACTTTATTTCATTCTTTGTCTGATTGCCCTGACTGGGACTTTCAGGAC